GCAGAACGCGGCCATCAAGAAATACTGCACTGGGCCGCCACTGTAACGCATCCTCCCTGGGAAAATGGACAGCGAAAGAGAACAGATTTGTGTGTAATTCACTTGAATAGTTACACGCGATGATTGATTTGCATGCGTTTCACCCTGACTGTTTGAAAATTGACCAATCGAAAGGCATGTAAAGGTTGTTTAATTTTGAGTTAAATGATGGAGGGCTCACCATAAAACCGTTTTTTTTTTTTTTAACCAGAGAGAAAGGACAAAAAAATGACTTGAAACTGCTTGAAAACCCTTAAATCCCGTCAGCTTCATGTTCTACGAATAATAATATATGTTTTCGTTCAGATAAGTCTCTATTTTTCTTTTCCTAATTTAATTTATTGCTTCATTCATCTTTGTATCCATTGGCCCTTTCCTTTTTTGGACTGTAATCACTGACTATTTCAGGACTCTTGCCTTGTTCTTAGTTGCTCCAATCCCAGCAAGAAATATGACTTGTCCTGCACCAAGAGAGGTGACGAGACTTACTCGAGTCTGAGATAAAGGTCCCCTTATGTCTCTGGCATCACAAAAAGAAAAAAAAAATTGATGAATAAATAAATGAAAATAGCAAAAGAAATATCCTATAAAAGAGGTAATAGTCTACACAATGCACAAGAGAAGTTGAACAGAGGCAGCAATGTATCATAAGTGTACTCCTATGATGGTAGTTCTATCCATATCTTTTGCAAAATTTACTCCCTTTTTCATTTTATATGTGAAAGTTAAAGTATTTCGATAACGATACATTTTTTCATTTCTTTTTCGAAATTTTATTGTAGAGGAATACAAAAATAACACCAGATCTTTCCCTCGTCTTAGAACTCAAAGAAACAAGGGAACAAGGAGTAACGCGGTTAATACTGCTCGGGTTTCAATGGTACCTGTCCTTTGACAGAACCAAACATACTTGGAAAATTTATTTGATCACGTCTTCACTATTTTGATTAATACTGTATTCTGTCTAACCACTGAACTCACGTGAGCGTGACATAGCTGATTATCGTCAATGAGATCCCAATGACAGACAGAGTCAGCCCAACGTATGTGAGAATTACCAAGGCCTTTTCGTCTTCCTTTTACGAAAAGAAAAAAAAAAACAAAAAAAAACCAGCAAAACAAGACAACAAAGATAATAACAATACCTTGAGAAAATATTAAAAAGTCTGGATACATCGGATTCGCAAAGTTTTTAGTGTACTACACCATCTAATATAATATTATAATATACATTTGCTCAGATATTCGAGCATGTCCTATCGAACAAGGCAGCTGTAGGCGTTATGAGGACACCTACCTCTGATATACCGGCTCTCTCTGGACCAGATGACGTGTCCAGAAGAACAGCAAAATGAGTCAAATGATTGCAGGTGCACTCTGTTTGGTGAGCATTACTAGATTTGACATAGCATCCTTGTCCTGACCAGCCAGTGGAGCTGTGGTGAAAGGTAGTTACAGTATCAATCA